AAATTCTTTATTCTAATATGATGAATTTCGAAATTATATGTGAATTGGAAGTTTGTTTATGTTTTGTTTTGTAGTTCTTTGTGTATAAGAACTGAAAATTGAAGTTTTTTTTTTCTAATGTTATGAATTCTAAAATTAAATGTGAATTGGTAGTTGTTTTTTGTTTTTTTTCTGAATTTGAAGTTTTTTTCTCCAATTCACATTGGAAGTTTTTTTCTCCGGTTCATATTTTATAGCTTATGAATTGAAATTGAAAGTGAATTAGAAGTTTTTTTTTCTGAATTTTGATTTTATAGCTTATGAATTGAAATTGAATGTGAATTGGAAAATACAAGTAGGTTTGTAAATTCCCATTTTCAAGCCCACAATCACATGTTTTACAGAAAATACAATCAAATGTTGTGTTTTTATGTGTAAAGTACAAAAGTAAAATTAATAATAAATAATTATTATAAGATTAATGGTAACCTAATTTTTTTAATAATCCAATTGTTCCATGAAGAGTGGGCGAGAGGGGGAATGCATGCAACATCACATGCCTTCCAATTATTGAGCTTGTGTTAGTATCAAAATTATAAGCTATAAAATCAAAAATTGGGCTGTTTTTGTTTTTTTTTTTCTAATTTTATACCTTTGATATTGTTGACCTTAGTTGTTAGCTTGTTATCTTTTGTGAAATTGTTAGCTTGAATATTGATGTTTTGTGCATCTGAAATTGTTTGTGTATAAGTTATCAAATCATAATTTAGGATGATGTTAACTTCCTTGGTTGAAAATTGCTTTATGTTTAAAATTGTTCTTTAACTTGATAAAAACTATGATAAATTACTTTAAATATTAATGTTTTAGGATGTTGGTTTGGAACGAGAGTGAGGAAAAAACTTTTATTGATGCATGTATCCATGAACTAACCACTAATGGTCGTGAGGGTTCCGGGCTTAAGGCAAGTTCATGGAAGACAATACGCGAAAAATTGATAAACGAACACGGTAAAGAGGTTGATCAGAAGCAAATGAGAAACCACTTTGACTACTACAAATCAAAGTATGTTGCTTGGGTGAAACTCAAAAACAAAACCGGCAATATATATGATCCTATAAAAAATAAATTTAATTTGACCGATGAACAATGGAAAGAAGAGGGGAAGGTAATATTTTTTTAATCAATACTATTATGATTATTTTTATAACATATACTATTTGATTAAATTTATTTTTTTAATCAATACTATTATGATTATTTTTATAACATATACTAATATTTATAAAAATTGTAAACAGTTGAACAAGTTCGTGTTGTCATTGAAAACTAAACCCCTATTGTTCCCTGATCTTTGCACCCAACTATTTGAAGGGTCGACATCAACCGGCTTTCAAAGTTGGGGGCCATCTTCTACACTCCCTCGTCCTGTAGAAGAGTTTAGTCCCCATGATTTTGATGATGATGTTCCAATGGAAACCTCAACACAACACGTAGGTGCAAGTGAAGAATCTTCGAGGCGTTCAAAAAATAAGGAAGTTGGTGGAAACAAAAGAGTTGGTGGAAAAAAAAGAGATGCAAGGGCATTAGAAGTTGAAGAGGAGATTGTCAAGCTTGCAAGGTCGTTAGTGGAAAAAAATGAAAGAATTGAAAAAAGTGAAATGGATAAGGATGTTGATGCGTGTATGGAGAAATTGAACAAAATGGAATGGGGAGAAGAAGATGAAAGATACAAGACCGCTCTTTTGCTATTTGGTGAAAGTGCTGATGTTCGAAAAGTTTGGTTACGACTTTCGCATAGTAGTTGTGAGTCGTGGGTGATGGGTGCGGGTAGGAAGTGTGGTTACCTTTGATAGGTGTGGGTAGAAAAGTTTGGATACTAGTTTTTTTTGATGATGTTTACTAGTTTTTTGGATCCTATGTTTGATGACTTTTTTGGATGATGTTTACTAGTTTTTTGGATCCTATGTTTGATACTTTTTTGGTTTACTAGTATTTTGTTATATAACGTTTGTTATATGACTTTTGTTACTTTTGATGTTGTTTACTCATTTTTTTGGTGCATTAATTTTTTTTTACTTTAACATGTTACCTAATTGTTTGTAACAGATCAAGTATGGTTTCTGATGGTGAAGTTGTAGCTTTTCTTTTACTTGTGTTTTATTGGTTGAGGTCAAACCGGCGCAGACTAATCAGAATTCATAGAATTAGAGATAACGATTCAAGCGGGTATGCATATACACAAGATTTGATGTATGGAGACCCTACACAATGTTTCGATATGATGCGTCTTACACAAGAGGCATTTGCATTATTATGCAACCATTTTACCCAAAAAAATTGGTTGCAAGCTAGTAGGACAATAAGCATTGAAGAGAAGATGGCTATCTTCTTACATGTTATAGGACATAATGAACGTTTTCGCGCGGTTAAGGGAAGATTTCATCACTCCACACAAACGATTCATCAATGTTTTCACGAGGTCCTAACAGCAATGATGTGTTTTGCAAAAGAAATTATAGTACCAACAACTCCTAACCCAACAAGACATAACTCGGAACGACATAGACGGTTAAAAAATAGTTTTTCCGGAGCAATAGGTGCATTAGATGGAACTCTTGTACATGCGGTTGTACCTGTTGATCAACAAACTCGTTATAGAGGAAGAGGAAAAGGAGAATGTTTTCAAAATGTAATAGGAATTTGTGATTTTGATATGATATTCACCTTTGTTTGGGCTGGATGGGAGGGTATAGCACATGATTCAAGAGTTTTGAAAGAAGTTGCATTCAATTCGACTTCTGGATTTCCATTTCCTCCACCAGGTTTGTAATCTTTATATAATTTTTATTATCTATCTTCTTTATATAATATGTGTCATTATATAATATGTGTCACATTCGTTTGCAGATAAATATTACCTTTGTGATGCCGCATATACAAACACTCGTGGGTTTATGGCTCCATACCGCAATACTAGGTATTGGTTAGCCGATTTTCGAAGAGGCAGACCTTTAACTAGAGAAGAAAGGTTCAATCATGCTCATGCACAACTTAGAAATGTTATTGAGCGTGCTTATGGTGTATTGAAGGCGAGATTCCCAATCTTAAAACAAATGGCTCCTTATCCTTTTACAGTGCAAAGAGACATAGTCATTGCTTGTGTCGCGATCCATAATTTTATAAGGAAATACAATATAGAAGATGACTTGTTTAGAAATTTTGAGGAGGACACTATGGTTACTCCTGACGTCCAAGGTGGGGGAATTGATAGAGAAAACATACAAGGCATAGAATGGGGTCCAGAAGCCGTTGAATATATGCGTGTTTTGCGTGATCAGATTGCAAATCGACTACTTTCACCTACTTTACATTAAATTGTTATGTTATTTTAAATTTCATTATGTTTTTATTTGGATATTAAATTATTTATGTTTAATTTACATTTTGTATGACATTTTTTATTTGTGTGTAATTTACATTTTGTATGACAATATGTATGTTTTTATAATTATTCAGCAATTTAATCCATCAATATATATAACAACAGGGTAAAATGGTCATTTTTCATCACTCAGCACATTCAGTCAGATGTACAATCAAACAACAGGATTTCTTACCCAATCAGGATTTCTTACCCAGACAGACCTTTCCCAGTCAGCAATTTCTCAATCAGCAACTATCAAACGGGGCCTAAAATTGGATAATAAAAAGGTTATCGAAATCGTGATTTTGATCGTAAGATCGTATGGTCCTATATCCCCCCCCCCACACACACACACACACACACACACACACACACACACACACACACACACATATATATATATATATATATATATATATATATATATATATATATATATCGATCTCGGTCTTATATAACTCATTTTTTAGGTAAGATCATAAAATCGGAGGTAAGATCGTAAGATCGGAGGTGATCCGATCCCACCTAAAGGATAAAAGAAAATAAAATGGACGTTTGTTTTATTTCTCTGTCGTTTCTTGCCTACAATGCTATGTAAATTGGACGTGGCATGACATATCTTTACCGTTTTTTGTATGTGATAGTATGTGAAAAGTGGTTTGATGAAGGCAAGTTTAGGAAGAGACGAGGGGCTATGTGGAACTTGATTGTTTATGACGTAGGCTCGACCACTTGAAAGATTTATTAAAAATGATACACCAAAGTTTAATAAAAGAAAAAAAAAGAAATAAATTAGATAATGTGTGATTAAAAATTATGTAATTAACATAAAAAATGATATGTTTATAAACTTTGGCTAGCAGTCTTTTTAGTCTCGGGTCAAGACGTCTTGAAATGATTTTTTTTTTGAGATTGGTCACGAAACAATCCAAATTTTCAATCCATCTCTGCACGGTCCGACCTTTTTTCAGTCCGGTATCGGTTTTGACCTTTTTTCAGTCCGGTATCGGTTTTGACAGGTGGATCTCAGTATTTTTAAAAAAAAAAAAAATTAAAGGAAGACACAAACCTAGGTCATGGGCCACCTTGACGACAGTTTCAATCAAATGAGTTAAGTACGTAGGTGATTAGCCTCATTTCCTTCTTATTCATCTTCCCCTCTATTTCTTTTTCTTCTCCTGGACGATGTGGTAATCAACAAAAAGGCATATTTCATATGATACACATTCCCTTCTACACCTTCATTTCAATAGAATTATAGATATATATTATTTTTTAAATAGAATAAAAGTATATAACAGCATAATGATCAAACCCAGGACCAAGAGATACATTTACATGTAAACTAATGACTATTATATTTTAAAGGTTTTTTTTTGAAATATATATATATATATATATATATATACTATATTATTAAATATATTGCTTTTTTGAAATTACTATATTATTAAATATATTGTTTTCTTGAAAATTAAAAGTTACAACATCAAATGCAAGTTATACAACAACTTTATACATTCTAGAAAAATGACATCTTATCCGGTCAATTAATTGAAAAAGTCATTCCTCACTTTCAGCCGAATGAATCGGTTTAACACCACTACGCTTTATATAACATCTCTGCTTCTTCCACCACCAGCCGACACCACCATTCACCATCCTCTCCAAGAAAAACCCTAATCAAATTATACCTTAGCCTTTCTAAATGCCCTGTAGTTTCTAGCACCACCATGTCATCGCCTACAATAAACAACTCCCACCACAAATCTAGAATCATCTGCCTCGATCTCCTTCCCCACTACTATTTACAACCACTACTACTGCTATCATATCCTACCCACGTCGTCTCTATTTTAGAAAAATCTTGACCACCGACGCCTCCCACGACTCCCCTGTCGTTGATGTATAAATTGATGTACATCATCTGATTTTGAATCAGGTTCACAAAATTTGACATTCTTGCCTGCCTTCCCTGTCGTTGATGGAGAAATCTATCTCTAGAACTTGGGTGGGCGACCTTCTACGCGGTTTGATAAAGCCATATTTAGAGAAAGCTAGGGTTTGATTCAGATTTCCTTTCTCTTTTATGAGTTTCAAGAAAATAAATGGTGATGTACAACCTCTCTCTCTCTCTCTCTCTCTCTCTCTCTCTCTCTCTCTCTCTAATTGTGTGTGTGTGTGGCGATTATAGGTCTTGAAAGCAAAAACCTTTTTACTGATTTTGTCTTGGGTTTGTTTGGTAATTACATTAATGATGAACGTCTCCCCTTCTCTCTCTCTCTCTCTCTCTCTCTCTCTCTCTCTCTCTCTTATGTTCTTTCTTCTCTCGATCGTACGAAGATTTTGTGCTTTTTGTTGATTCTATTTTATTCTTAGTTTATGAAGACACAGGGGAAGGTGAGTCAAAGGAAGTGGAAGCTGTTTTTCATCAGATTTGGTTTGAAAAACATAAGGGGTATGTATGTTTTTCCTCCTTGCTGGTGTGATGTTTGCTAATACTTGGCGGTGGTGATCCCCTGGAGTGTGTTGGATGTTTTTTTGCTGGAGTTGTTCTCTGTTGTTTCCTATTATCTTGGATGTACTTATTGTTCTTCTTAATATATTTCGACTATTGGTGGCTTACGGTTGAAGTTCTTTTCAATCTATTAAGTAATGTTTCAATTTCTATCATTTCTTTTCAGGTTGGTTCTGATTTGTCAATTCAATTTAGTATCTCTGGTCCTTCTTCAAGTTCCAAATGTAAGAACTTTCTTCCACTTAATTTTTTGTTTTTCTTTTTAATTAACACTCAGTAATAAGAGTGTAAAATAAGGGGGTGATTTTGTTAAAGGAAAGGTGTCAAATTTGATATAATGGTTGCTGTAAAAGAAGCCAGATTGGTGGCTTACAGTTTAAGTTCTTTTCAACCTAATTTTTTTATATAACAGGTGATTAATTATTTAATAAATGTAACTACTAACTACTCTCCCTTCATTGTTAAATATAATAGTCTCTTTGAAAAATGAAAAGTTTATGATATGTGCAACTCAATACATTGGAGACAAGCCATGTAATGGGTGATTGGAAAAGGCACCATATATGTATTAGATGGATGGGGAAAGGTATGAGACATTAAACTGTGATATGAGAGGATTTTTGGACATCTTAAAAAAAATAGATACATTTTATTTAATTTGTATTTTTTTTATATGGCCCTGGATACTATTTTTCTTCAACAGATACAGGTTATCCCCCATTTATACTTTCCTTTTTGTCTATATTAAATTAAAATATGAAATGTAATTCTAGCTTTGTAGTAATTGAAATGTTGATCAATATTTCAGGTGGATGATGAGATTACGTATTGGATTTTTAATATATTTATTAAGTTTCTAATTGATAAATGTTGTTGAACTGGTGCATTTTCAAATTATTGTGTCAAAAATCTTAGGTAGGCATAAATATGCCCTGATGATATAAAGTTTCTGACTTTCATCATTCATAAAGAAGACTTTGACTTGAGCTCTTGGTAATTTGTTCAACTTGGGTTCTTCATATTGTTGCGAGAGCTTGATAAATGTACTCTCAAGGATTATGGTTAATTTGTAATTGTAAATGGAAAAGTCTTTTTTTTTTTTTTTTTTTTTCCATCTATATTTGTCAAAAATATGTAATTTTGTTTCCTTTTTGTTAAGTAGTTTTTATTTCTAGATTTGTATCTTATTGAAGTTTTGCACTATGTCAAAGGAGATGTGGTTGTTGCATTTGTACGTAGCTGGTAACACTAACCTACTTATTGAAGAAAGAAGAAAGCCAACTGATTTAATGCGTTTCTACTTTTTAGAAGATAAAAATTCATTATTTCTACAGAGGTTTTCTAAGCTAAAGAGCACTATTGGTGGATGTTTAACTACAACAAGCAATGGCATCTCTTTTAAACATATTTGATGTTTTTTATTAGTTTTTTTTTATGATCTTCTAGAACTAGAATTAATAAAGTTAGGAAGTATAGTTTTAAAAATTCAAACTTTTGTGTTATTGTAAACTGCTACAGTTCTGTGTTGGTGTGTATGTGTGTGTGTGTGCCGACATATATGTAAGGTTGAGTGTTAATATTTAAATTTAACCTTGCATATATGGATTATCTTTAAGTTTAAAATTGTGGTCTAGAAAAGACCAAGGGGCTGGTTAAGTTAAACCTTTTGTTATCATTTTTGTTTTAACAAAAGCAGTTTCATATCATTTCGAGTTGTATTTTATTTGAATAGGTATTTAGCTTCTTAGCAGCATGATAGTTTTGGCTGAATTTATCTCAGCCTAAATTTGTTTACGTATGCTGAAGTAAACAATGTATTTTGGTTTTATTACAATCCTGGGTGTTTTTTTAAAAGTATTTTAGGGCCTGATTGTCTTTTTTTTTTTTTGTTGAAGTTTTGTTAAAATAATCATTCTTAGAGAAACTGGTGCGTTCTTTTTCTTTCTTTTTTTTCTCTAATTTTTAATCATCTAGATTTATTTCTAATACTTTTTCATTTCTTAGATTGAAATGAGAAAAAGGCTAAAACAAGATATTCTTTTTATAACAGAGTGATCAGAGGTGAGGGTGGACTACCTTTGAATTTGATTCCAATGGAAACATTGGTATAACTCCTTAATTATTTTTGGTTTATTTCAAATACTTTGTTGTTTTAAAATTCAAGTTATATTTTAAGAAATTTAGAAAATGAGATAATGTCTTACGAATTCATTGACCTTTTCATCTTATAGAAGGAGCAAGCAAGTAGCCAAAGGCAGGGGATGTGTTTCCTGAAATGCCCATTATCATTCAGGTCACCCTCTTGATTTTCTTGCTTGTGTTCCATGATGGTCATATGGTATTGATTATAGACATTGAACTGGTAACAGGGTAGGAGCAATCATTGTCTATGACCACTCCTTTAACTTTTACTACAACCATATTTAATTGTCTTACTATAAAAAAAATTATTGGTTTGGTTTTTTTTAATGTCTAACGTGATTAAACTCATTCAAGGTTTGATGACAGTTTATAGTAGTGTATTGTGGTGGTTCAAAACCTATGAATGTTGATGCTTAAGTGATGTTTTGTAGGTTCTGTTTTATCTTTATTTGGGAGTTGGTCGTTTTTGACCCCATGGTCTCATTCCAAAAAATTTGAAGTTCAATCCAAGATACCATTATCCTTTTGTTGGTGGTTGTTGCTTAATCTGTTTTGCTTTACTTTACTGGTGTGTTGTTGCATATGGATATATGGTCCATAATTTGACCATTATGCATTTATACCCACACTAAGCTTTGTCAATGTGATGTTTTAGTGTCCTTGCTTGAAAATTTCTTCCAAGTTAAAAATGCTAATATGTTCATGGTTGTTGATAGTGATCAAAAAATTTGTTGGAAGTTTTTACTTTATGTGGACCGTTTTACCCCTACATGGAGTTTATGGTGTGCTGTGGTTTTTGTGCCCCTGTGTGATGACTTGACTGCTTCCAATTCTTTTTAATCGCTTGTTGCACTCTTGGTTGCATAGTGTTGGGGAGTACTATTCTCATTTTTGACCATTTTACCCTCCTTGGTTTCAGGTGTTTGTTTTTAAGTTTCTCTTGCTTTTGCTCTGTATTCTAACTCTCTCTCCTGGCTCTTTATTTATCAAATCATTTACCGTTCAAAAACTTTTAAGCTCTGATTTTCAACTTTTTTTTAAATATAATTATTTAAGACAAGTTGATCATCTATGCCTAATAATTGTTTATTTCATTATTATGTTTGGTGTTTATTTTTTTTCAATAAATTGGCCTTTCAAACTTTAATGTTATGTATTCTTGGCTTATATAATTATATAATGACATTAGCTGTAAAATTATATTTAAATTAAATAGATATATCAATTTTGTCCTATTTTTTTCCATTTATCGATATTCATTTTATCTTACAAACCACAAATTTATAAGATAATTTTTTCTTTTACCAAAATGTTGGTGACAATTGAGTGCGGTAAATAATCTTTTATGGACCAAAATGTCTTTTACTTATTTAGTCACAATTGACTGGTATATATTTATTTTAAAATTATTTTAATTAATGAATTTTGATACACGTTGTTTATTTTTGATATATTACGTAGTAGAAATGTACAAAAAAAACTTGGTTTTCAAGCAGAGCTATTTGATCTGTCGACTTCGATCCAGTTTAATCCATTAACCAGATAATAAAACCAAACTAATGGTTATTTTATGTTATCTTTGTCGTGTCATGTTGTGTTTGTCGTATTGTAATGGGTTTGTTTTTGTGTCAATGAAAAAAACAAGATATCACGTCGTGTGTGGTAGACACAAACACGACATGATTGCCCAATGTGACAGCCCTAACTCATGAAAACTATTCGTCTAAAGAAAACAATTTACCTAATAACACGATGTACTTTTAACCCAAAATAAAAAGATACATACATTTCCAAATAAAAAAAACCCCTACTTATATTCTAACGTCCAAATAAACTAATTGCCTCTAGAAACTATTTTTTGAAAAAAACTAATTGCACCCGTCGCTTAGCGCAAGTAAATGGCTAGTATATATATATTATTTTGGTCATTCACCATAAACATTTTGTTTCGAACTTACCGTTCACTTATATAAAAAAACATCGAAATACTTAAATAGTGCATCTTGATTGTATGAGATAATATTTAGTTGAGTCAAAACTTCAAGGAACCAAAGAGCTTTTAGCTCAATGTTATCGGATTTTTTTTTTTAATCCTTGAAGTCGAAGGTTTACATATATGGAATTAAAAGTTGTTTAGGAATACGGTTAAAAAGAAATTTAAAAACTAAAAAAAATAATAAAATAAAAAAATTCAAGAAAATTAACAAGAATAACTGAATTTATCGTTACCAGCGATGTTGCATATGAAATCATAGGCAGATTCACTAAGATGTCCGGGGTAGTCAGGGTACCCCTTAAATTTCGTCTAGAAGCTAAATTTATTTTGAACTTTTTTTATATTGCAGCGTTATCCTGAAAAAAATATGGGCTACCCGTGATTTATAAATTCAAAATGCTTAAAATCCAAATTTAATATCCAACTCTTTTAAAGTAGCCCAAAATATTTAATCTCAAAATTAATAACCCAAATCTTGTAATGAAAATGAAATAAGTCATAGCCCAAATTTTGTACCAAATTGTTAACAAAATAAAGAAAAATGGGAATGGATTCAAGAAATCAAAGCATTGATTGAGGCCCTGCTCCCTCCCCCTTGGTGCTCGTTGTTGTTGTAGGTTGTAGTTGTTGCCGACGATCCTTCTGTTGTCGGCGTCTTTCCATCTTCGGTCGACGATCTTTGCATTTGAGCTTTCCCATACTTTGCACAATGAAACAAGTAAGCAACCCAATTAACTCAATTACTCAATCCTATTATTTATTATTAGGTTATTTCAAATTTCCATTATTTTTCATTGTGTTGAAAAATTAGAAATTAACAATTAGGTTTGTTTAATCAGGGACTTACGGTTAATAGTTAGTGATTATTTGTTATTGAAACTTGGAATCAAGTTTATAGTTGAAATATTTTTATTGTAGGGTTCTATTAACAATTTTTTCAAAAGACAATTAGATGATAATGGTGGAGGAACTTCAAAAAGAAATAAACCTAATGAAACTCCACAAGTTCCACAACCTAACGAACCTACTCAACAAGCACAAGTTCTGCAAGAACCACAACCTAATGAACCTACTCAAAGACCACACGTTCCACAAAGACCACATCCTAATGAATCTAGTCAAAGACCACAATTGCCACAAACTTTTGATTTGAATGACCTTCCTTCGGACTCGGGGGATAGGCTAAAAATTACATCTTATCATCCTAATCACGCTACAAAAATAAACATCTATAGGGACGAAACCAATAGGAACGACAAAAGTCGTCCCTATAGATGACCTATAGGGACGACATGTTGTCTCTATAGGGTTCACAAATAATGTTTGACTTTTTAAGCTATAGCAACGATACATCACCTCTATAGGTAAGGTGGGAACGAAAAATGTTTGGCGCATTTACGAAAAACTTATAAGTACGACATATTGTACCAGAAATAAATAAAATTAAGTACATATGTATATATATATATATATATATATATATATATATATATATATATATATATATATATATATATATATATATATTAGTCTATTTAATTGGAAAATAGGAAGCGACGTCGTTTTATTTGAGGATATAGGGACGACAAGTCGTCCCCATAAGTATTAGAAGCCCTTTCCCCTTTGTTCCGGTCTTCTCTCTCGCTCTTTCTGGAGGGTGATTCGTTTCTCCCCGGCACCACATCGACGACCGGGTAACCACCTCCCCTCTTCTTCTTCTTCTTCTTCTTCTTCTTCTT